TCTGTACTTCATTTGCAATTTTGGGTGTCTGCATTAGCATGCCTCTCTCGGAAGAGGAATGCAATGTAGACATACCTTAGGAAATGTGAAGAAAAATATCAAGACATATTTTCCATTCATATTTGTCATTGAAATTTCTTCGGGGTATTCTCTGGACTCAAAGAGCAGATTTTTTTCACAGTGGAGAAAATGGAGGGAAGAGATTAATTTTTATTATCCCTGATTTCCTTGTGTACATGTTTAAATGTCTCTTGCTGGCTGTTTTAAAGTAACAGCATAGACTTTCTGAAAAATTGTTTGATACTATTGTATTTTTGACATTCTGGGCATTAAGCAACAACAAAAATAAGACTAATAATAATGAGTACGTCTTTCTCCTACTCTGTACTTTGCTATATGACTTGTCAGTAAGAAAAAGAAAATAGGAACAATGCTGGTTATTTGGCAGGGAAATGCATGCAGTAATTTTTAAAGTGTAACTTTAAAATTTCCTAGGGCTTATGCATTTTTTTAAAAGCAGGTACAATTCAACTTAATATATTCCTGTAATATTTTGTTAAAGATGTTGGAAGCTATAATGACATTAGCAAGTCAGAACTCTTGTCTATTTAGTATCCTTCAAGGAGTGGTCAGTGTTTATATGTAGAGGGAGACAAAAAAAACTAGCTAATTTACACACTGCTCTTAAAGGTTGGGAGAAAATGCCTTCCTGTATCTTATGTGCTCAGCTTATGCCTTGCAGGAAAAAAGCAGACAGCTAACATAAATAACATAAATAACAAAAAATCTAATGGTTAAAGCAGATGGAAACAGTGGGGGAGCTTTCACTGCACCATCAGGGAAGAAGAGGTGCTGTGAAGGAGAGGTGCTTGCCCAAGCAAGCCAAAGAGGAGACAGACAGAGAAAATACCCCTTTCTGCTTTTAGCAAAGGAAGAGGCAATCCCCCACCCTCACAATTTCATATTTCCTTTTTCTTTACCCCAATTAAATCATCACACTAAAATTTGTCAACCTTACACCACCATCATCATCATCAGAGCTTTAAATGTGATCACAAAATATCTGACATTTTCATGCGTTTATCTTGAAGGTCTAATTTTAGAATATGCAACAAATAATACTAATAGCAGCATAATGTAGAAGACTTCCTTTATACTTTAGGAAAAGCATAGCAGACAAGTCTGCATAATGAGTGGTCATGGATGATATTTTGTTTTAGAAAGAGTGGGAGTTCACTTATGATTCAACTGGTAGTACCAATAGAGGTCCAAGCTGCACCAAATGTGCTACTGAAAATCCATTTCTTTGGGAAATCAAACTCTTAGTACATTTGTTTATCATGGGAGCTGTTCACTTGTATGAAGAAGAGAATAATGTTCCCGGGGATGATGTACCTACTAATAACTGGAAAATAGACCCATATATGAAAACATGCGGGTATGTCTACACTACCCCCTAGTTTGAACTAGGGTGGTAATGTAGGCAACCGGAGTTGCAAATGAAGCCCGGGATTTGAATTTCCTGGGCTTCATTTGCATAAAGCCAGGCGCCGCCATTTTTAAATGTCCGCTAGTGCGGATTCCGTGCCACGCGGCTACACGAGGCATGGACTAGGTAGTTCGGACTAGGCTTCCTAGTCCGAACTACCATTACTCCTTATTTCACGAGGAAGCCTAGTCTGAACTACCTAGTCCGTGCCGCGTGTAGCCGCGCGGCACGGAGTCCGCACTAGTGGACATTTAAAAATGGCGGCGCCCAGCTTTATGCAAATAAAGCCCAGGAAATTCAAATCCCGGGCTTCTTTTGCAACTCCGGTTGCCTACATTACCACCCTAGTCGAACTAGGGTGGTAGTGTAGACATACCCTGCCTGAGGTCATGCATTCATGGAGATGAGTATCTAAATTCAACTATTCCCTTTTAATGTAGACCTGGCCTGAGAGGATGAGAGTTTGGAATGCTTCTTGGGTTTTTTTTAGTGAAGCTTCTCATTTTTCTGGGATTTTATACATGTATATCAGACTGCACTCACTATGTACGGAGAGGTCCCTCTGTGTTCAGATCTGTCCTTCCTTCCAAGAGATCCAAGTTGCCTTTACAGCATCTTTCTCCAACTGCATTGCATTTGTGCCATCCATAGATTGAGGCTAGGGAAGTTGGATGTGAATTTTCCCATCAGTGAAAAAATTTGTGAAAACATGAATAGAGTATGA